AAATTGTTAAATTCTTTATACTCACGGGCTAAAATAACTAACAATAAATAAATATTTATGAACTTAAATCGTCGATTTGGATTGATGAATGAATGCACTTTATACTTACTCCCTAATAAATAAAAATTGTATAAGAGATCTCAATTTCTAATAAGAAATTATTACAAAATATTATAATAAAAAAAAAATAAAAATTAACTTGCTTTTTATACCTTTATCTTTATCCTTCTCAACGCCAATTCCATAAAGGTAACAAACAGCAGATTTCCAAATTCCCATAGAATTACCAGCTTCAGCAGATTTCAGTTAATATGTAACGTTTTATGCTTATCGATTTCGACTCCAATTCCTAAATTATAACAATAACCAACTTGATACATTCCGTTAGAATTATTCATGTCTGCCGATTTTTGATAATGCGTGAATGCTTTGTTTTCATCCTTTTCAACTCCAATTCCATATTCGTAACAATAACCGAGCCAGAAAATTCCGTCTGGATCGTCCGTATCTGCCAATTTTTGACAATCAAAGAAATTCAGTTTGTTGCGATTAATGTAGTCAAATTTTCGTCGGACATTTTTGATTAAAAAATAAAAAAATGAATACGTATTACAATTTGCTGTTACTGCGTTTTTTTTAGTTATTTACAGCGGTTACCCTAAATTATGCAGTTGTAGTTTTCAGCCTACAAACATAGCAGGCAGATATTATCAACTAAAAAATTCTGCTACAAACCTTTCTATTCTGATGATACACAGTACGTGACTCGCCAACGCATGCTACTGACATTATCAATATCTCAGTTAATCTAATATCTACAAAGCGCGTGTAGTCAATTCTTGAAAATCATAGATGACAAATGAGAATGTGAATAAGAATAACCGATCGTTTTTCTGTATCCATGTTTCAATTTTCACTTATCGTTATTGATTATTAATTCACAGATCGATGACGATCCTGTTACGACATTAATTACGCAAACGATAAAATGTCGCAATAATTCAATTTAAAAAAAGATCACACGCAAACGGGTGGAAATCAGGTAAATTTACATGCATTCATTATCTAATTTATCTTGAGAAATCCGGAAAATATAGTGAATTCCCATGATATGTGATCTGCAACAGTTCATACTATCGCTGCAATTCGACATAATTTAACGTTAAAAATATTGATCAAGAACGGACACACTCGTAATGGCTAGTAATTATTAATATTCAATAAACTTCCCACACTATAGCGATAGTATTTTCACATAAGCACGACATATATAAATAAAAATCATTACTAAAAGGTAACATCAAAATTGGACAGAACCTGTTTGAAATCATGAGTCATGTACTTATGTAAAGGGCTAGTTCTAACCAATCAAATGCTTCGGGACAGCTGTGACAGCGGGGTAATTTTATAATGTTTCGCAATAATTACAGTTTGACGATGATCGTATTCTTATGAAGTTGGCTGATTTAACACAACCAATCAAACCCGATAAAGGTTACATCGGCATGACCAGGCATTATTTTATATTTGGATTTAAAATATTATATAAAAGTTATATATCTGATACGCTAATTTCGGATCCTATCATTTTCCTGACAACCATTTCACGAAAATCCAACAAGTTAGCAGTATTAAGTTAGGTTAGTGCTAGTTCTGGCAAATCTCGGGAAAATAATAGAGGAACGTTAATTTTTTATATTATTTAATATAGAATTTATATAAAAATTTATTTAAATTTATATAATTATAATTTTATAAAAAGAGATAATATGCATATTTTATTACAAATTTGAACATGCGAGTGGACAGACAAAATTTCCAAATTACGTTTCTAATATGATCTTCATAATGTTTATGCTGTTGCACCAAAAAAGCAACTTTTGGGGGTGAAGTACATCAATACGTATAGAAATCGAGGATCCTCACTACGCTCCGGATCAATAAATTTAAGTATTGTAACTAGTTGCTCGAGTTGCTTAAAGGGAGTTATAGATGAGTGTATTATATCTGATATTGCATTATACAGTGCAAGGACTTCATATTGTGATTAGGCTCATGGTTGCGATAGCAATGCAAGGATCTCATATTGTAATTAGGTCTATGGCTGCCACAGGCAATGCAGGAACGTCATGTTTGGTGATTGAGCTCTCCTATAAAAAAAAAAAGTCAAAATTCTATTCAGATCTTGTTCAAATTTTTATTACAAAAATGCCCATTATTTAAAATATAATCTAAACAAAATTTAAATAGAATATTGACTTTTTTTATAGGATCCACAACTATGATAGCAGTACAAGAATCTCGCATTGCAATCGGGCGGTAACAATATGTTGTGATTAGGCTCTATGGCTGCTAGAGATGGGTTTGGTTGCAAATGGCTACAATTATTCAAAATCAATTTTCTAAATATTGTAATGATTTTTCATTTTTAAGCTTTAATTAAAGTTGTTTAGAAATAAATTCTGTTCATACAAGCTTATAAATGGAAAGAATGAAACTTTCTCTGGAACTAAGAATTTTAAAATTTGTAATGTCATAGCCGATTAATAATGTTAACAAATTTTGAAATTCTGAGTTCCAGAGAATGTATCGTTCTTTCCACTTATAGGATGAGATGAACAGAATTTAATTCTTAACAACTTTAATTAAAGCTCAAAAAGAAAAAATCATCTCAGTATTTAGAAATCGATTATGAATAATCATAGCCATCCATAATCGAACCCAACTCTAATGGCTGCCACAGGTAGTTAAGAACCTCATATTTGGTGATTAAGCACCGCAACTACAATAGCAGTACAAGGACTTTACGTTGTGATTAGGCTCCGTGGCTGCTATAGCAATGCAAAGACCCATGTTGTGATGGCTGCCGCAGGCTATGCAAGGATCTCATATTTAGGCTCTATAACTGCCGCAAGCAGTGCAAGAACATCATGTTTGTTAATTAAGCACTGTAACTACGATAGCAGTGCAAGGATCTCATGTTGTGATTAGGCTCCATGGATGCGATAGCAATACATGGACCTCATATTGTGATTAGGTTCTATGGCTGTCGCAGGAGTGCAAGAACCTCTTGTTTGGCAATTAAGCTTTGCAACAACGATAGCAGTGCAAGAAACTCACGTTGTGATTAGGCTCCATAGATGCGATAGCAATGCAAGGACTCATGTTGTGATTAGGCTTTATGACTGTCACAGGCAGTGCAAGAACCTCTTGTTTGGCGATTAAGCTCTGCAACTATAATAACAATGCATGGATCTCGCATTGAGGTTAGGCTCCGTAGCTGCGATAGCAATACAAGGACCTCATGTTGTTTTAGGCTCTATGGTTACCACAGGCAGCGCAAGAACCTCATTTTTGGTGATTAAACACTGCAACTACGATAGCAGTACAGGACCTTGTGTAATGGATAGGCTACATAGCTGCGTTAGTATAAATTAATCAAGATTCAATTAAATAGAAATGAACGATAACGATTTTCATACTTACTGAATATGGTTAAGTATATTGCATAGCTTAAAAAATAGTTTTTTGAAACAAAAGAAGCTATTATATAATCCACTCTAAGCCATACCTTATTAAAAAAAAAAAAAAGATAATGATAACGCTTTCCTGCTAAATCCCATGTAAAATTGTCCATGCATGCTTTATTTACAATTTATTATATCTACAATTTACAAATCAGAAGAATAGAAATCTATAAACACAGAACAATTGATAAAGTACAAGGTGTCATTTAAAGAGATTTACGAATGATCGTATCTGATAGAATTTAAATGGTGCTGATCACTGTAGCTAATTACTCAATAATAACTAGCACACATTCAAGATGAGCTATAAAAAGAAAATGTTATGTAAGTATTATAAAGTTTAACTAATAAGACACACGAGCAATGAACTTAAAGTTTATTATTTTTAGTATGTAAATTCAAAATAAAGTCACATAGCAATGCATACATCGAATTATGGAATCAAAAGTCGATGAAACTTATAAATACAATAAAAATTTTTTGAGGGCAAGCTCTAGATCTGATCTGATCAGCACAACACAACGCGTGCTCAAGATCAGATCAGATAAATTTTTTGACGAAATCCTTTCCGTTTTAATCAAAAAGGAATGTGGCGAATCACGAGTAAGGTTGCATCCAATAATTAAACTTTATTGGAAACGATCTACGACATGCGGACAAAGAGAGATTGGAGGGAGTTAATTAAGTAATTTTATGTGCCATATCTAAATAAGCTTTTTGCATAATTTTATATTCGAATAAATACGTACGTACATACGTATATACATCGCACTTGTAATGTGCTAATTTATCCATGTGTATATTAACAATAATTGTAGATATATGCAACAAAATTTTATATAACAAAAATTTAATCAAATTAATACTAGGCTAGGGTTAGGATTAGGTGTTAAAGTATTTTAAATATCAAAATTTTGCAAGGATTTTTTTGTTAGAGTTCCAAACGGTAGTTTCATAGACCAAATTTCGAAATTATCTTTCTGTCACACGAATCGATTTGCATTTAATTGGCAATTATTGGGATGCGACATACAAGTGTACTGCATGGTACGATGCCTAATTTTCTAGATAGCCTTATGCAAATTGTATTTGTTGATGATCCAATGTCCATCAGGAATAGTGTTGGGTAGATCGATCAAAGACATATAAATTTGATGGATCTCCTTTCGTATAGGTGGCCAACATAAAAATATTATAGAATTATAATATAAAAAAACTTTAACCCTAACTATAACCTAACTCTAATTTATACTATAACCCTCATATATTATAATCTTATAATAATTCTATATACTAAAGATCAACCTTTAAAATGAGTTGATATATTGATTTATAATTATACAATTGTTTCACTTTTTAATACTATCTAATAACTATTTAATACTATTTAATTATATAATAACTATATAATAAATTTTCTTATTAATACCTGTTCGAATTTTTACACAAATTTGCAAAAAAATTTTCGCTTCAATGATATCGTGGATATTAATTCTTATTATTACCTTTACAAGGTTTACTACATGTAAGAATGGATATGGTTTTAAATCACCACCTATGGGATGGAATCCATATAATGCCGTAAGTATAATATTATTTTATAATAATTATTATTAATATGCTCAACTAACTTTGTTTAATCTTTAAAGTTTACTTTCGCATTCAATGAAACAATAATTAAGAATCAAGCGGATATAATAGTTACTGGAGGCTATTTGAAAGTTGGATATAGATATATAAATCTTGGTAAAATTAATTAATTCAATAATCATATATTAAGGATGTCATCTATTAATATCGTATATGTAATATTATAGATGATAGCTGGCAAGCACCTAATAGAACAGCTGATGGAACACTATCTTATAACACAGACAAGTTCGTATTATATACAATTTTATTGCACTTGTGTTTTATGTGACAACTCGTGCTTTTTCTTTTACTTATTGGCACGGGATTGTTACGTTAGACACTGTGCAATAAGATAGTTATTCTATGGTATATTGAATAACCCAGTTCCATTTGCACACACGGTTTATATTTAAATTCCATGCCTTCGAACGGAGTATGAACTCGTGTGTAACTGGGTTATTCACTACATACTCATACAATAGCTATTAATTATTTTGTTAAAAATAAATTTGGCGAGAACATTAAATTTATAAATTAACTTTTTTAAGGTTTCCCTCTGGAATAAAAGGTAATCTACATATTTTATGCATCAATTTCCTTAATATATAAAAGCTATCGTGATGTGGGAATATTTGCCATCAAATAAAATCAATAGATTAAATTAATATACTATAATCCAGTGAATATTTTTCACATGCGCACACTTTTGCGCACGTGAAAAATAATCACTGATATAATCATAATTATGTATTTAATTTAATAAAAGGTCATTTATAACTAATGATTAACTTGGGCTATATGTTCTGTTTTTCTTTTTCAGCTCTTTCAGAATATATACATGGCAAAGGCTTACTTTTTGGAATTTATTCAGATGCTGGAACCGAAACTTGTGGTGGCCTTCCTGGATCACTTGGTATTTATTATATTTTATTTGGCATTCAACTTGGATGTTTCAAAACTTGTAATTATACATGTATATTATAGATCACGAAGAAATAGATGCGAAAACATTCGTAGAATGGGGTGTTGACTATTTAAAGTATGATAATTGCTACAATAAAAATAGACCTGAACAAGAACGTTATCAAGTAAGTTATAAAGTACTCAAACTTTAATTGAATATTAATATTTATTATAATTGGTATCTAGAAAATGGGGAAGGCACTTAAGGATGCAACTAAAGGCACAGATAAGACTATTTTTTATAGTATCTGTGAATGGGGGTAATATGAATTAACAAAAATATGCTTGTCTAAATCTATAGAATACTAAAGTTCATATTTTAATTTTTATATTAGACAAAGTAATCCTTGGTTATGGGGACCTGATGTCGGAAATAGGTTCTAATGATCTCAAAGCTTGTTATCGTATTATAATAATTTATATTGCAAATATAATAAATAATTATTTGCTATTTAAATAAATCTATTTAGTTGGAGAACTTCTGTTGATATTAATGGGTTCTGGACGTCGATTTTATCAATAATAGATTCGCAAGTAAGACTTACACAATATGGAGGGCCAGGAGGTTGGAATGATCCTGATATGCTTGCAGTGGGTTTTGATGTAATACCTCCTATTGAACAAATAACGCATTATGCATTTTGGGCTGCTATGAAGGCCCCTTTAATACTTGGATGTGATGTGGGTTTTATTTTATCAATTTTGATTTATGATTATTTGATAAAAATGATAGCAATAATTCTAAATTATTTCTAAATTATATTATAGCTTAATAAAGTTAATGATGCATCAAAAGCATTAATATTAAATAAAGATATAATTTCTGTAAATGTAAGTTTATCCCTTATTATTAGGATTATTCTTTGTTTCTCATTAAATATCTTAAAAAAATTCGTGCGTCATGTTTATTTAATTCTAAAAAACAGCAAGATCCTCTTGGATTATCTATATGTCAGGTTTATTATAAAACCTATAATGAAACTTCTTTTGATATTTGGACCGGACCGCTTATTGATGGATATGTTGCAAGTTTGTATCAAAAACTTTATACTTTATTAACAAATTATTAAACCTTAAATTTAATTAATTTTTTATTATTTTAGTTTTGTTTAATCGCGGAATAGAACCAATAAATATCACACTGAATTTTCGGAAACATTGCTATCTTACAGGTAAAATTAAGGTTTGGGATCTTGTAAAGCAACAATCTAAAGGAAAATTTACAAATACGTAAGTCAACATATTAAAATAAATTTAATTCCAATACTTTTTTATTATTATCATTAATGACAACGCTAACTAAATAAATAATTCACTTTTCAAATAATCATTACAGCTATACTGCATTAAATATTCCAAAACATGGAGTAGAATTTATAAAACTTATTGGCGGAAAAAAAATTAATTCTGCTAGACCATGTCTTAATTATTCTTTGCGTAAACATTAAAAATTTAACAATACTTAGTATATAATTTATAGATAACTGCATTAAAATTTAAGATTGTTTTCTCTCAGAAAATATTATTTATATAAGAAAATAAGTAGCTATTAATAAGAAATATCTTGCTACTAAAATAAATAAAATAAAATTAAGGGTGTTCTCAAGCAACACCCTCAATATGATCTGATAGTGATTGAGATGATGCCAATTATTACAATTTATCGTAATAATGATTTCAATCATTGTTTGAGCAAACACCCTTGTTTTACTCTATTATCACTATGTCTTCAGCAAATCGTAATATATATATATAAAAAAAAGAAGGCAATTATCCAACAAGCAAATGTAACTATTTCTTTGGCAACACTTCAACAAAAAAAATGCAACTTCGGCAACTCCAAGTATCCAAAATTTCTTTTACAGACTTTGCGAATGTTCGTATGCTGTTTACAATATTCACAACTCACAGCTTTTTCTCCTTTAATTTGAACAAAACCAACACCAAAAATAATAAGGCATTTGAATATTTAAAAATTTTTAAAATAAATAATTACAGTTTACCCGTTAATATCATCCTATTTGAATCCGGTGGTTTGGTTTATATATGCGGGGGCTATTTATATATTATAAAACTTTATCAAAAAGAAATGCATTTTAAAGCTAAAGATAAGTATAATATCAGTACTAGTTGTCATTTTTTTTTATTTTATATTTTGTAATTATAATTCTTTCTTTTCTAACTGATTAATACTTTTTCATGAGTTATTTAGGCTTCATTTGGGCAACTCAGATTTAATTTAAATAATATATTTGATTATTATAATTAGACTTTGTTTGGAGTTTACCGAATGATTTGGTTAGCTAAGAAAATTGATCATAATTAACCTGAAGCTGTGACTACCAATTTTTTTCATAAAGTAGCGTTGATTAGCTAAATTTAGCCTTGTTTGTGTAATTAAAGAAATTGCTCGAGCATATCTCTTGTTTATCATTTTTATAATTTGGATCATTTGTGAGGCTGATTGATAGTACTCGCACTCTAAGGTATGTTAACTAGTTAACAACTAAGTCACCTGTATAACTGAAGTAATCTAGTTAACTAAAAAATAATATAATATATATATAATCAACACCATGAAGAATAGAATATAGAATATAAATCTATAAAACTTATATAATTGATGTCTTAATTTTCTTGGCACATTCATATAAAATTTCTATCAGATATATTAACCATAAAACAAGATAAAGGAGAATTTTTACATAAAAAAAAAATGCAACTATTGCATTTACTTAATATGTATATGGGCTAGATACTGTAAGAAGAGACCAAATTGACAAAACAAAAGAACTTTTAAAATTAATTTTTATGTTATAAATCTTATAATAAATTATAAAAAAAATACAAACTTTAAAGTGCTATATAGCAAAATTTTATTAATACAACTATTTTTGTTTTAAGTAAAAAATAGTTCCAATATTATTCTAAATTAATTTATGTAAAAAAATTGTTAATTTGGTCCATTTTTGCAGCACCTAGCCTATATGCATCACTTTATAGAAAGTTATTTTATAAACATCTTGTTTTAAAGACAATTAGCTTATAAACAAGTTTATTTTAAAGTTAATTAATTTATAGACAACTTATTTTATAAACAATTTATTTTATTAATAATTTATTTTATAAGCAATCTTTAATAATAAATATCTTCTAAACTAGTGTTTAAGATTGTCTATAAAATAAACTATTATAAGCTATTTGTGAATTAATTATCTTTGAAATAAACTTATCTATTAATTGATTTTTGTAAAACAGGATATTTGTAAAATAAACTTCTATAAAGTAATATATAACTATAATTAGCAATTATTTTACTAACAATTATTTTACTAATAACTTATTTAGTCTATATAATATTAAGCAAATCTTAATATACAATATTATCTAAATAGGCTATCAGTGAAATGAATGTTAGTAAATTAAAAAAATTTGCATTTATTGAATATATTAAGTAGAGATATATTATTTATAAGGTTGTTAAGTAATCCAACTTAAAATTATAAACTGCTAGTTTGTTCTAAAATTGGATTGGTTCTGTTTTTTTAAAATAGACCAAAAAGCTATTAGTTTAAATAATAGTTATTATTATTATAATTATTATTACTATTATTATTTTTCTTTTTATTAATGCCAAATTGAAAATAAAGTAGCATAAAAGATAATATATTACAATGACATAAAACTAAGCTAAATATAAATTTCTAATTAATTATATAATGTCTAATATAATAAGTTATACTATTATTTATAATTTAAGTTGCTACTGAATTTCGTATAGTATAATACCTTTTATTTTTTTATTTGTAAGCTATTTAAATAATTTTTGCTAGCTTTAGAAGGCTATAGATAACCTAACACAGTTATTATTATTAAATTATTGTTATAAATAAAATTACTAGCTTTAGGGCCCAGATATTGTACTAGATTTAAAAATCTAATTTTTTCTAATTTTTAAATACAAATTATATTAATTCTTAGGGCCCAAATATTTCTTTAAATATAAAATTTTAATTTTTTTTTTTTGTTTTAAATCTGGGTTTAAATAATCTTGTTTATATTTAAATTAATTTATATTATATTTAAATAGTCTAAAGATGTGGCAGCTTAATAAAGTAGTTTAGTTGTCACCTCACCAAGCAGCAAGTCTTGAGTTCAAATCTCGTAAATAATATTTTTTAAAAAATAAATCTGCATTAGGTAAAGATTATTCATCGATTAGTTGGATCTACAATCTGTAATCTTGGTTGTACCATCTTGTCATAGAAGCTTAGATACAAAAATGCCAAGAAACCAGAATGATTAAAACCCATTTAAAAAGACCCAAGTAAGGAGGTAGTAAATACTTTTGACAGTGCTATAGGAAGGTTAAATTTGGAAATAACAACTAAGATTGGAAAACCAAATAACAACAAGATCCTTAAGTGAAGAAATCCACTAATCTAACCACCAAATGAAGAAAAAAATAGCACACCAACCTAGTTAGCCAGCATGGAAAACTGGGTAGTTATTCACTATGACTAAGATTTGGAAGTTAGATTCTACCTAATAACAAGGGCTAGGTAATTCCTAAAGACTAGCCAGATTCATTGGAGGAAAAGGGCATGTGCTATAAAATCATGTACTACAAAGAAACAGGTATAAGGCATCTAAAGCCTAGCTAGTATCAAATCTTCTAAGTTACAAGTTGGAAGTAAAAGAAAGACCAATAAGGCAATAATAAGAAAAAAAACCCCAAATATGAGTATTGGGGTTGATGTGAACTTTACAAAAGTATAGTAGTTTAATGGGATTACACCAAATTGTGAGTAAGAGCCTCAATAAATACAATGACTGGGTTAGCCAGATAAGGATATAGAAGGCTCCAGTAAGTTTATCTTGAGAATAGTTATATATCTTCTCAATAGAGAAATTCAAGCCTAGTGCTTAGCAAAATCAATTAAAACCTTAATTATTGAGTTTTTAAATCTATTTTTTTTTTTTTTTTTTTTTTTTAAGGTGAGGCCTTGTTCATATCTTTATTAAGTAATTTATACAAGTAGTTACATAAAGACTATATAAAAACTTATTTCATATAATACAAATAATATAAATTATATGCAAGAATTGAAGCTCAAACTAAAAGCTTAGCCAAGGCTTAAACTAGTTATCTGTGACCTAAACCTACTAGAGTGGTCAGAACTCATCTAGATTTAAGAGTTAATATATAGTTTGTTGGTATGCTATATTGGATCCACACTGAAGACCATTGATTATATTTATA